ACGTTAATCAAATGAGAGAGGGGGTGGGGGTGATTGTTGCATTGGGGGGAGAAAATGTTTTATGGGTTGAGTAGTTTATTTTTCCTGTAATACTTCATTATAGTTTTTTAAGACAAAGCTAATTGAAAGGGGCGCTGAGCAGAGTTACAACCAGGGATTACAAATAATTACTTTTTTCTTCTACAGTTTCTCCAGCAGATGGCGCTCTAGGCGACCGCCTAGTTCACCTATGCCAAGAGCTGGCTCTGCACCAGGTTAACAGGTCATGGGAGATATTGATGGAGATTACACATTATTTTCAAAATGACGTCAACTTTTCTTGGTTTGAAGTGATTTTAGTTTACGTCTCTGGCACAAACAGCGACAGGAGACGTTCGTTCTTTATGAAATCAGGCAGTTATTGTATTTATAAACTCTCTGGAAAATGTGCAAGAGAAGACCTTAAAGTTAAATATCCTCTTCAGGAAAAGGTGTTATTTTGGAGCAGATCTGTTAAAATTTGTCACTCTTTCTGTGCCATTTTTATAAAAAAAACATTTCCAATTTCTCACCTGATACTTCTTGACACTGAGCAAAAATGTTGAACAAAATAAGGCCCGATCTCTGACAGTTATTATAGGCACAGAACAAAAGCTGCATTTTTGCACAAAGTTTACTGATGTTACTCATGTGGGTGGATTTTAGAGCCGAAGGAAAAAGAGGAAAAAGAAAACAACAAAAGAAAAAAAAGAAGAAGAAAGCTGCATCAAGAAAAAAGATGGTTAATTCAGGATGGGGCATAATTGAAAATGATTTTTATTTCCTCATTTACACTCAGTTGATTTAAACAAAATGGTTGAAATGTTTAAGAAAGGCGTATCTGATCATAAGCACAGACTGTGTTTTGGAAACTGAAGTTACAACAAACTGACCAAATGGGAACAAGAGTTCGTCGTACACAAAACATCCTACAAATTATATCGTTTCCATGTTTACTTAATAATGTTTCCTTCTTCTTAGTGTTTTTTTAATTATCATTATTATTCTCTTTTATTTCTGACAGCACATGCAGTCAGGTTGTTCTCCAGGTTCCTGTCAGATGAGTTTCCTTCTCTCAGGTCTGTTTGGTTTCAGCAGCCCACGTGGAGCCCCTCGGCCCGCTGCAGGTCAGTGTTTGTGCAACAGGACAAAGGAAAACCAGTCTTTTAAACCCCAACATGTCACTGAAAGTCTCACAGCAATAAACCTGTCTGTGTCAGGTGGACATAAATAAAACAATCATGTGGGCTGCCCTTTGTACAGTTACACAGTCAAATATTACCACCAATATTTTTATTTTATTTAACCTTTTATAAGAAAAACAGAACAGATTTATTTTTCAGTCAGTTTTTCACCATATGATTCATACATTTATAAATGTCATAGTTTATAAAC